TTAATTTTCTCCTGAAAATACATTTTCCGTGAAATTAGACATTTATCATGCAGGAAGTTAGAATTTTAATAAATTGCGATATTTGCGGTGAAGAATTTGAGATTTCAATTTCAGGAATTCCGAATTTCAATTTTACATTTTCATTCCGTACATTAGTCCACAGTCAAGTTATTAATACCCTGAGAGAAAAATGTTGTAAAAGGTAATAAACCTAATGGTTTTCGACCAAAAATAGCTGCTGTATTAAATTTCTTCGTATGCCATATGGCTTAACGAATGCTCCGGCCAACTTCCAGCGTCTATTAGACCGGTTGATTGGCAAGGATTTGTATCCCAAGGTTTTCGTTTACCTAGATGATATTATTATTGTTTCGGAAACCTTTGAGGAACATCTCGTCTATCTCGAGAAGGTCCTCGAGAGAATTAAGGCCGCGGGCCTCACGATTAATCGAGGGAAAAGTGAGTTTTGCTGTCGCGAGGTCAAATACCTGGGGTTTATTGTTAATAGCTCTGGTCTGCAAGTAGATCCGGCCAAAATCGCCCCTGTTCTCGAGTTTTCTCCTCCGAGAAACTTGAAGCAATTGCGGCGCTCCCTCGGTATGGCGTCATGGTACCGTAGGTTTATCCCGCAGTTCGCCACTATTGCGGAGCCTCTCACGCGTTTGACTGGCAAGGGACAAGCGTGGGAATGGGCAGACGCCCAAAACATCGCTTTCAACGGTTTGAAGGCGCATCTAACGTCTCCGCCGACGTTAGCTTGTCCCGATTTTGGGATTCCGTTCTCTCTCTAGACCGATGCCAGCACGGTCGGTCTCGGCGCCGTGTTAACTCAAGTTAATAACGGTGAGGGACGGGTTATCGCCTACGCAAGTAGAGCCCTCACTTCCGCAGAGAAGAAATATTCAGTTACCGAACTGGAGTGACTCGCGGTTATTTGGTCTATCGCCAAATTCCGATGTTACTTGGAGGGTTATTCCTTCACGGTAATTACGGACCACAGTAGCTTGCGCTGGTTACACAACTTCCATAATCCTACCGGTAGACTAGCTCGGTGGGCTCTCGGCCCGCTCCAGTACAATTTTAATATTATTCATCGGAAGGGTGCCTTACACCACGTTCCCGATGCTCTTTCCCGCGCACCCGAAGGTGAAAGCGAGGACTCCGAAACGATTCACATTGCTCGGCCATCCAGCGACCGGTGGTATTCACGCAAGTACCGGAACGTACAGCGTGCTCCCGATTTCTTCCCTGACTGGAAAATCGTGGACGGGCGTTTATACACCCATCGTCCCTTCGACCTCATAACGTTGGAGATGGTCGATCTAGACCAGGCATGGGCAAAGTGCGCTCAATCGGCTCACCTAGCTCCCAACCCCAATTAGGCCAATGACCATAAAATAAGGGGTCCTATTGTACCGTGCAGGTAGTTGGAGGGGCGAGACCACGATGCTTGGGTCAGAGTAGGGGTACCGTTACGTCAGTCAACGCGCAAAAATTTGAATTTTTGAAGGAAAAATATGAATATTTTCCTTGCTGTATTTTGCATTCTTAAAAAATATCAATTAATTATTTTTCCTTCCATCAGCTTCCGCATAAAACTCCGTTGAATTAATCACTCCGAATTGAATATTTCGGCAGCAAATTAATCGAAAAAAACTGTTGAAAAGATTTTTTAATTTATGTTTATACTGTTTAAACCTTCCCTCAGCAGTATTTTAAAAATTTGAAAGAGTTTTTACCGTGAAAAGGGACAAGGAAAGAAGAAATTTGAATTCCTTAATTTCATGACTTTTTAACTTTATTTCATTATATTGATTTTATTGAGAGGGTAGGTAGCCTGTTGGAAGCGGGAGGGGGGTG